AAGAACCTCACCCACATGTACTTGCATCTGAAGAAGTGAGGTTCTTACCCACGAAAGCTTATGCTCCCAATACTTCTGTTAGTCTCAAAGGTGCCACAGGACCCTCTGTTGCTTTTTATTTGGTGTTATTTTCACTATATGGTCACTTACACAATCATGGCCGTGTGACGGGGGCTGTTAGCAGCTACAAACTGAGCCCTTTGGAAGTCAGCACCCTGGTCACTGAGCACTGGGCACCAGGTGCAGTTAGAGTAGGAGGGACTGAGTAGTTTGGGTTTGGAAGCCTGATGAGGTCACTAGCTCAGCGCTGAGAAGAAAGCAGCAGTATAAAAGGCTGAATCAGGGAGCAGGAAGGGGGCTCCTTATAACTGCTGATATGCTGTGATGAACCCTAAAAGGTAATAAATACACTTGGTGGAGGTGCCCTGGCAGACTGCAGGCTGCTTAATTCACACAGAGATCTGCCAGCCTGGGGTTGCAGGAACTGATGTGGGAGCCCATTCATAGTTAGAAATTTAAAAATGAACATTGCCTGCAATCTCTTCATGACACTTCATGCTGTAAATTGTTAGTGACAACACATTTTTATGTCTTGTCAGATAGTAAAAACCATGTTGTATATTAACCTATTTGCCAACATATTTTCCCAATGTAATGACACAATGAGATTGAATAAGAAACCACAGTAATTACACATCATTCAGTGAGAAATAGGAAAAGGAACGCAGATATTCTGAAGGAAATTTTAGGGAAAAAGTATCTATTTTTAGATTAACATTTCCCTGTGTTAAAAACTAAGACAAACATATAACTTCAGCAGCCCATGTCACCTAGACACCAGCTGACTGGATAAAAACACAAATGAATCCAAAGATAATTTTAGGGTATTTATTTTCAAATAATCAAGGTAGGTTTAGGGCACTCTGCCATGAATGGCATATTGTGAATTAATCTTCAAAACTGAATTATTACATTGAAAATGTTCATAACGCATCACCTTTAAAACAAAAAGGAGTCCTAGCAATGCCATGTGATGTGCCTCCCCTCAGACTCTGCTCAGCTAGCTCTTCAAGAAATTAGGTTCAGTCTCTAATTTGAAGGAATTAGACCAATCAGTCACTATTTTTACAGAGCATTCCAGAAGGTGGTGGACAGAACCCATTGGAATTGTGATGAATTTCCTGGAGCAACTTTATTTTCTTTGTACTCTAAACCTTGCATGACAACAAAAATATCACCCTTTTGACTGATTTATGGCTGAGAAGAAAAGTTTCCCAATAAAGCTTCAATAAATTTATTCTTGTGTGTCTTTAAGTGTCAGGGTCTTTAATATAATTAAGTTAATTTGTGATGATTCAGTAAAGGAATACAACCCCTTCTCTATTTCTTTACTAAACTAAATTTGTTGTGTCCTTATAACCAAGAACATGAAGAGCCCGGCAGTACGTTGAAATCGACAGTGGACACTGACAGTACATGGGCTGCAAATAATATTTCCAAAGAAAAATAAACTAAAAAAATGGATACTGTAGAAGAGATTTCTATCTATAGAAAGATAGCATTTGAGGTTGGGGACCGTGTTTTGTTAACTGATGTGAGAACAAGAAAGGAAGAGTCATAGGTTGATTACTGATTATATGTAGCTAGAAAGTTAAAAATCACATGAATTAATGGTGACAGAAGTTCAAAGACTATTTAATAATCTTGTGTGAGTTAACTTAAATATATTGCTTAATTAATTCTATTGTTTTTTCACCAATTAATTATCAAAGGTGTAGTGCAGGGGGTATATGTGCCCTGCCTTCCAGAGAGAACCAGTCAAGACAATAGAGAGAGAGAGAGCGCAGTTGCACATGTGTAGTTGTGATGTTTATGACACATGTACATTCTAACTGAACAACCCAGTCTGACAGTTTTTAATAATTATTTTGATAAGATAAATATTTTGGATTTCCTGAAATGACACAGTTGAAATACAAATGATGCTATGTAGAGAAGTTAAACCTCAATATAGATTTGAGGGAAGAATAAAAAAAATAAATGTAAATTATTCCATTTTTTAGAATATGTTTAGATGCTTGTTTCTGAAATACTGTTGAAATGTAAATGAAAATGTTTTTGTTTATAACAACATTTTCTAATTTAGAATAATCTTTTTTTTCCCTATTTTGCAGGGGATGGGGAAAGGTGGGGGCAGCAAAAACCACTAGCTGCCTGGCAGTATTTCTTACCAGCATCACCCTGTGCTAGGGATGGAGCAAACACAGCGGGAGGGGGGAAAATCTGTCTGGCTCCTTCCAGCAAGTGGGTCCCATTCACCCAGCCTGGGCTGGGGTTGCCAGGTGTCCAGTTTGCTACTCCAGCTGAAAAGGGAAACTGGGAGCGTCTGGTCACCACAAAAACTCCAGTTACCTGCAGTAACCGGCCTCCACCACAAGGAGGCGGGAAGAGCTGCAGCGCTGGGAGGGGACAGTTTGTGCCACGAGTGTCGCTGTCAGGGACAGAGATTCCCTCCGGCCTGAGCTGGGACCAGGCAGATTATCAGGGGAGCCACGTTTGTACCCCTAGTGGCAAGACCAGGACTGAAATAAGGGCGGAGCGTCCCGGAGAAGGTGTCAGTGAAAGTGAAGAGATGGGACCTGTCAGTCACATTGTAAAACGAGACCTCGCCCGCCTCATAGTCCAGGAAAATCCCCACCCGGCTGGGCCTAACACTCACGGGGAGGGGGGTTGGGGGGGAGGTGCGAGCCTCGTATATCCCACTCTTCAGCCACACGGCCCAGTATCCATTCCCAGGTGTGTATGTGACCGGCCCCTTCCTGTTCACAGATTCCCTACAAACCCCCAGAGTCCATCTAGTCTTGTCTCCTACCTCCACTTCCCAGTAACACCGCCCGCCCATGAACCCCTCAGTGCCCAAGACACAGGAACAAGTATCAAATCTCTCATGATTGTCAGGCAGATCCTGGCGTGTGTCTCCGTATCTCACATATTTCCAATCCTCAGACAGGACGAGGTTGGGATTTGCCGTGTCTGGATCCAGAGTCACGTCCACTGGGGAGAGAGTCATAGAGTCAGTGCCGGGGGCAGGGGCTGGTCACTGGGATCAAAGGGAAATTAACCTGCTCCCCGTTAATCGCTGTGTGTGGGGAGGGTCAGTGCGGGAGGGGAGGGGAGGGCAGCAGAGGGATGGGGGAGGGGACAGCTTGCTGCTGGGAGAGGAAACGAGTGGGGCAGGTGATGGGGCAGAGGGGGACAGGTACAAGGGCAATGGGGGAGCTGGCACCAGGAGGGTGGGGGGGCAAAGGGGGGGCAGGTTCAAAGGGGCTGCACAGGTGAGGCAAAGGGAGTGGAGGGGAGGGGCAGACAAAAGTGCAAGGGGGGACAAGGGAAGGGGTGGGCACCAGGAGGACAGGGGCGTGGGAAGGGAAGAGCAGGTTCCAGGGGGTGAGGGGAGGGGTGGGCACCAGGGAAGAAGAAGGGGACAGACCCCAGGGGCACAGGGGTGTGAGGAAATGGGGGTAGCTCCAATGGGGTGGGGAGGAGGGGAGGAGGAGTAGGGCAGGTACTGGAAAGGCAGGTGGGGGGGGTTGAAGGAGGGGCTGGCACCAGGGGAAAAGGGGGGCAGGGGAAGGCACACGTTACAAGGGGAGGAAGATGGGTGAGGGGTAGGGCAGGTGCCAGAGGACCATGGGGAGGTAAGGGGAGGCAGACCCCAGGGGGAAACAGGGGACTGAGAGAAGGGGCAGTCAAGGGGGAGAGGGGCATGATGGTAGGGGTGGGTGCCAGGATAACGGAGGCGGGCAAGGGAAGGGGTAGTCACCAGGAGGGATGCCGGGGCTGAGCAGAGGGGCAGATGGAGGAGGGGAGACAAGAGAGGGGTGGGCAACAGGGGTCAGAGTGGGGGAAGGGAACAGGTCCACACAGGGGGGGTAGAAAGTGGGGTGTGGAGAAGGGCAGGCCCTAGGGGGACACAGGGGTGTGGAGAAGGGCAGGCCTTAGGGGGACACAGGGGTGTGGAGATGTGGGCACCAGGGCAACAGAGGGAGGATGAGGGGAGGGGTGGGACCCAGAGGCTAGGAGAGAGTGTGGGAGGGGTGGGCCCCC